TCAGTCCATACAGAGATTTTCTGAGTCTGCACACCTTTCCTTTACCAACATTTTCATAAAAGCCTGCTAGAATGTCCATATATACCTCCTCCTGTAAGTTACCATTGAGGAAAGCATTTTTGACATCAAGCTAGAACAAGGGCCATGAATAGGTGGCTGCTAGAGATAAAAGAATACGAACTGAACTCATCTTAGCTATTGGTGCAAAGGTTTCCAGATAATCAACACCATTGGTCTAAGTATACCCTTTTGCTACCAACCTTGCCTTGTACCTCCCTATCTTGCCATCGGCCTTATACTTCACTATGAATACCCATCGACATCCGACTGTCTCCTTGTCTGGGGGGAGATCAACTATTTTCCAAGTTTGGTTTTTGACCAAAGCATCCATTTCATCTTGCATGGCTGTTTTCCACTCAGGTTCGGAGAGAGTCTCAGTAACATTCCTGGGTATAGACACAAAATCCAAGGAAGAAGAAAAAGCATGGTAGGAGGGTGATAAGGCATTGTAGGAAAGATGGTGTGAAATGCAGTGGGTTGTACACTTTCTCTTCCCCTTACGAAATGCAATGGGAAGATCAAGGTCAGTGGGATCAACTGCAACATTGGTGTTAGGGACAGAAACATTATCATCAGAAAACATAACAGGCTCAAGAGGAATACTTGGAACTGTATCTGCCGAATCTGGAGTTTCAGAAGGACTAACAGAGAGTGGTGTGGGTCGAGGATGTGTGGAGTCAACCATCATCTGCCGGCGCTGATATTGTTGTGAGGCTACCAGTAGTGGCTCAGGTAATTAAACTGTGGGTGCAGGTGGTAGTTGAACTGATGTAGATGCTGGCTGAACTGATGGAGGTACCACAAAAACAGGAAGAGGAACAGATTGTGAGTTCTCCTCCCCAAAACTCTCCCCCTGAGGAGAACCAATCGAGAAGAATAATGTGGATTCTAAAAAGGTAACATCCATAGTGACAAATCTGCTCCTCGACACTGGGTCATAACAGCAATACCCCTTTTGGTTCTGAGCATACCCAAGAAAAACACATTTCTTGGCCTTAGGATCCAATTTCTTGCGATGAGGGCCAAGAATGTGAACAAAAAGAAACACAACCAAAAACCCTCAGAGGTATATGAAATATCTCTCCATCTGGAAAAAGGAGGCTAAATGGCACCTTAAACCCCAAAGTCCGTGAAGGAACACGGTTAATCACATGTACGGCTGTAAGAACTGCATCTCCCCAGAACTGCACCGGAACTGAAGCACACACCATAGACTCCTTGTCACCTCCACAATGTGTCTGTTTTTCCTCTCAGCAACTCCATTCTGTTGCGGTGTATATGCACAACTGCTTTGATGAACTATACCATGTTTTAAGAGATACGTGGTTAGGTCCTTCTCAAAGTACTCTCTGGCATTATCCGATCTAAAAACCTTAGTTCTCACTCCAAATTGTGTGAGAACCATCTGGTGGAGTTGTCGTACCAAGTTAGGAACCTCATCACGTGATCTCATCAAATATATCCAAGAATATCATGTATAATTATCCACAAACAAGAGAAAGTAACGGAATCCTCCCATGGAAGGGATTTGATATGGCCCCCATACATCAGTGTGAACAATATTAAAAGCAGAAGTGCTTATTTTATTACTTGGTTTAAAAGACTGTCTACAATTGCTTTCCTAACTGACAACTCTCACACTCCAAAGTAGATAATTGAACAGACTCAAACAATTTTGGGAAAAGACATTTCAAAGAACTAAAAGAAAGATGTCCCAAGCGATTGTGCTAAAGCATAATCTGGTTTACTGACTCTGACCCACTACTACTACTGCTGCTAACATGATGGCCCTGATGTCTCAGAATCTCATCCAGAAGGTAGACTCGATTCACCTCACGACCACTCCCAATCATCTTCTTTGACTCAAGATCCTGCAAAACACAATTACCAGGAAGAAAGGTCACAGAACAATTCAAATTTTTTGTCAAAGAACTAATAGACAGTAGGTTGGTATGAAGTCTAGGGACATGTAAAACAGA